ATGTGCAGATACATAGAATCAAACTCTTTATCGGTGCCAGGACAAAAGGCGATCTTTATAAGATTCTTCTAACTCGAAAAATGGAAAGAGTTGAGGGAAGTCTGACCTTTTTAGATTATTTTTACACACGAACATGACTTAATCATTTTTAACACTCGTCAGACTCTCCAGCTCCAGTTCATGTGCTTTCAAAAATAGGCACCCTTTCCCTTAAGCCTCGAATTGAAGCTATAAAGTAGTTACCAGGCGTTCCGGCTCAAACAGTTGGAACTCGGCTACTCCGTTCGAAATACAACGTCACGTGACCGAATTGTTTCTATGTACTCTAGTTAACAAATTGACACCAGTTTTTTTATTGTCTGTCTTCTTATTGATGATAAAATGACATCATAACATTGTCAAAGTGTTGTGGATCCACGAGCCGCATACAATAACAAAAGCTCGAAAAAGTCAAATATTGCCGGTAAAAATAAAGGCAACTCAAGAAAATCTAGCGCAATGTTATTGTCAATACCTTTTTTCGCTTGGTGATTGGCTACTGATAACAAGTAACGGAGTTTTATTGGCTAAAAATTTGACAGCTTGAGTCACGTCACTGCCCTGCATAAATTTGTTTTGCAAACTTCAAACAAGAATGAGATCAGCGATGTTTATTGCCTAGAAAAACGGAGGCATTTTTGGGCTGTATGAAGTCGTAAACAGGCCCAAGGTTAAATATTATTCCAAGGAAAGATTTTGGAGCCGCTATAGTAAACGAACAAGTCAAAGCAATGTACGGTTAAACTTTCTGTAGATCAAACTAGCCTGGCAGTTTAGAAGAGTTGTTAACCGATCAGTACGAACAGAAATCGTGTACGGCTGGTTGTTTACTTCAGTTCTCGACTTGTTTGTCGTCCTGAATACCATTCAGCTATATGAGCTGTGTACAATCAAACCGAAAGGTGGGTATTATAGTCATGAAGTTTTAAATTCGTTACCAGGTACTTACAAAGTTTCATAAAGTTTGTACAAAAAGTTTGTTTTGCTTTCGGAAAAAAGGATCAAAAAAACACTCAGTACTTGTCAAAAGAAAACTACCGTTATAAATGTGCTTATTTTTAATAAACTAGTCGGCATTCAGAATTGTTTCCTTACTTTTTTAACTTTTTACGAACATTAAAAAACATTAAACATTAAATCGCAGTTTTGAAACTGTACCATTTCTAGCAAGTGGTCCCCGCTTTTGGAAACTAAGTGTCTTGTTTAGTTTCCTCTGCTTAAGCTTTTAGCAGAGAATCCAAACGGGATGCAAGTCTTGCATCAGAACTTTCTGGCTATTATTCTCAGAGAACAGAAAGTGAATCTTCTATGAAACTAAACTAAGCAAAAACACCGAAGGTCGGCATTCGTTCGGCAAATGACCGCGTCTTGCATTATAAAACTTAAAATTTTATGTGTTTATCTTCTTAACGATAATTACAATTAGCCAATCAGCATGCGAGATATAATTCAGTTATTGTAACAAAATATCCTTTCTATAGTTTTTTTGCATTTTGTTAACTTATATTTGAAACACCACAGACTTTCAATCTTTTACCGGAGTAGAATGACTCAAAACGTTGTGAAATCTAGACTGACACCTTTTTCGAGAAAAAAAGAGCCGATGAGCAAATGGGACGTTGAATTTACATAGTGAAAATACCCTAAATTTGAATTTTTTTCGTGACTAAACAAATGTTTGATTTCAACGTATAAAATGAGCATATTACAAGTTGAGTTCACCGTGACGTTTTGTATACTCTTGACTGCGTGATGAAATGACTACACTTAACGTCCGAAAATTAGTTCTGACCAAGAAAGTTTAAGTTAATTTTTCAGGGTATCAGTTAAGACGAAGGTTATTCTTCGTTTTATTACAAATTTCTATACAGAGGTATCAGGAAGTAATCATGAGGTGAGTGGTATCTTGAGGGACAACCAACCGTGTAACTGTGATTTTCAGTGCTTATATTAGTTGTATTGGTGATAGAAATGAACTACATTTATACCTAATGTAAAGCGCTCATAGATCAAGAAGGTTTTTTTGCAGCGTTTTTTTTTTTTTTTTTTCATATTTTCACTTTTCATACCAGTAGTATATATCCACGGTCTAGCCAATTGTCCTGTATGTCACGCAAATATATAAATAGATCGGGTAATTATCACTATAATCTGCAATAATCAATTTTTTTAGCCCAAAAGTGGAAGTTTGAGTCATAATAATATTACAATAGAAGAAAAGAACGGAAATTAGATAACACATTATCTTTTAACAGAAATTTAACAAATGTTTAGGCAGCGATTCTTACATAATTTGCCATTTGTCATTATGCAAAATAAACATCTGTAAAAAAGGGAAAATTAACTCCGGCATATCTTGGATTTACCACTGAAAAGAATAACTCTAAGATTTTAAAACGTACCTTTTGTAGCCCATGGTTATCTATATCAATATTTCCTCCTTTTAGAAAAAGAAAATAACAAAATCATTGGACCCTTTCATGGCTACTGAGACAGACAACGCGTTGGAACGAGAATAGTTATTTACCTTTGTCTCGCGGAAGTCGTTTGTCTTCAGATAACATGGGGTAACAAACCTATGTTGAGGTCGCTATGAAGGAGAAATACGGTGAAAGAGGATAATTCCCTTGAATCGCAAACTTTATAGCGAAACATTAAATTAAGTCGAGGTTGGACAATTTAGAGGACCACTATGAGTCTAAACAATAAAGGTTTTTACTCTAAATGCTCAAATACGACTAGAGGCCATACCGTACCGAGTCCTTGAAATTTCTTTCTTTTTTTCAGAGTATAACACGCTGACTAAGCAGAATTCTAACGATCGTTGTGTGATCTTCTGCGAACTAAATTTTAATCAAGTATACTGATTACAATTTTCGGATCTCAGTATAATTGGCTTGGTCTGAAATGGGTAAATGAAATTCGGCGTGTCAATATCAAGCATTCAAAAGTAAGAGGAAAGTGTTTGTCTTTTAATACTTTGGTTAATTTCTCGACGCAAACGTTGCTTCTAATAAAAGCCATGAAAATTTTAATTTTAAGCAAATACTCAGAAATTATAAGCAACCTAAATGTACATACAAGGGAATAAAAAAGTGTGCGGACTCGATAAACTGAATATTGAAATGTAAATCTGAACAACTTGTTAATGCCACATAACTAACTCGCAAATGTTTTCAATGAATATCTCTTGCTTCACAGCTTGCTCTGTTAACTGGCCAGGGTGATGTAAACCCTTCGCTGTATGTAACAAGCTACACCTCCGGGGCCAATAGGGAACCTTCCTGCCCGCTTGAGTTCGATGGAGTGTGCGTGTTCGTAAGACTTAATCATCAAAGTATGGAAAGGAAAAACAAAATACAGTTTTCTGTGGTCGAGATTCGCCCTAGATTATCTTTAAATCAAAATATTAACTTTTGTTGTGGCGGGGGTAAATATAATAATTTTTCGGATTCAAAATAATTCAGTAAAGCTTGCATCATGGAAATGATGAAGCCGGCTTCAATTTCGTGGCTGAGACCTCAACTAATAACTGTCCGTGAAATTTTGGGCCACATAAAACAAATGATATAATCTTCGTTTGGTTTATTTTTTATTCAAGATTATAAGTGCTCTAGGTTCACACAAATTCCCGTATTCCTCAGTGGGTTGTTCTGTTTTTTTGCCTTTATTATATAGAGTATAAAATATCCTGACAGATCAACTGGAAGCGTTTCGCAGTTAAAATTTTAAGTCCTAAAATTATTTTTTGAAAACATAATTTTAGGACCTAAAGGAAACAGAAGAACAGAGGAACCTCTTCTCCAGCATTTTTCAATACATCGCCATGGTAGTGGTGACAGTGCAGTGAATGAACCTACGTGCCTACCCTTCTCAGTTTCCGCATAAATCTTACAATTGACTACCTCAAAGATCTTTACTCCCTA